TGTTCCTGATGATATGGTTTTCGAGACATGACTTTATGATTTTATGAATGATGAAATAGTGACAATGTTTTGGTAACATAAATTATGATTTACTTAATTTAAAAATGACATTTTTGGCCTCAAATTTTGGGATGTTACAAGGTTGGTAGGGAGGCCAGCCCTAGAAGTTAAGTTCTTTAAATAGGGTGCAACACTCGGAAAATTAGGGTTTTCATTTCCAGCGTCAACTCGTCGAGTTAGGGCTCCCCAAATCATCGAGTAGTTTCCCTAAGCCCCGCGGCCAAAACGATTTCTACACGAAGAGTTGGAGCTCCCCAACTAGTCAAGTTCTAGTCCAAAACACTAAAATGTTGAAAATTGAATAATACCTTACCCAAGCGTTACATGTCTTAATTATTTCAACTTAGAAATGAAGGTGATAGAGGGTTAAAATCATATTGGATCTTACCCAAGAACTATTTTTGAATTCTAGTGATTGAACTTGTGACAGAAAGAGATAAAAAAGAAGGTTGAAGTACTGAAACACATTAATTTTACTAATTCGGCTAAGTGGGTCTCATATACACATATAAACACATATAAATAGAAAGACGTTATCAGAGGAGCTATCGACATCTCTAGTAGGATCAAAGCTATGCATTTTAGCCTTTCATAGCATAAGTTCATTACACAAACTTTTTCTTCAAGATATTTCGAGGAGAGGGTTGCTTTGGACCTGTTTATAAGGGTTCATATATGGACGAGAAGATAGGACCTCAACATGTGGTTGTCATGAACATAAAAGGCGAACAAGGTTATATGGAATTTGAGGATGATAAAACAAGAATGCATAAAGAGATTTGAAACTGTGATTCATAAAAGCAACCCAAAAACATACACATATTAAAAATCTACCAACTAAAATAGACATAATTAACTCTCATACACACTTACATTGGTTGTAATACGGGGACGATGAGATAGAGTAGAAAAGAACTAGATGCTAGAAATTAAAGGATTAGAATAACAATAAATACAAACTTTGAAAGATTCAAGGATCGTGTTTCTCAAATACTTTCCGAAATATGCAATTCTTCCCTTTTGCCTGGGGTACACGAGAATTTAGAAATTGGATAATCCAAGAAGGAACCGATCTGATTTACATGCCTAATTCAGATTAAGAAACACAAAATACCTTGTTAATGTGTTATTGAGAGATAGAACCAATATTAATAAATAGATTTTGAGAGTATGTTCTATAAAAAAACATTTTCTGGAACATGAAGTATGTTCTTATACAAGAGGAAAAAGTGGTTTTCGACGGTTGCATGCAGATTTGGCCTCAAAACTCTTGACATGTAGCGGAATCAAAAAGGGACGCCATTCAAATTTTTACATGTTTGGAACATTGTAAAAATGTCAAAAAAATGGCAAGATGTCGGCTCTTCTGAAACTTTTACGGGTGGTTCTTTTAAAAGAAACAAAACATACGAAACGACACATAGTCAATCATCTGATGTGCATATTGGGATTGACCTCAATGAAGAGGAGCCTTTTGAGGTTCCAAGAGCCACTCGTCCCATTGGAAGAGACCGAGCCACGCGAAAGGGAAAAGGGGCGGGAACTTCTTTCGGCAACATCGATCAACTAACAACAAAAATGGACAATTTGAAGCCTTGGAGCGATACTTGGAACTTGCATAAGAGAAAGAAAAAAACTCGTGTCATGTCCATCTTAACGAGACCCATAAACGAGCTCTTTGTACGCGAACGGGAAATGTCGTTAAAAGCCAAAGAGGAGTTTGCAAAAGAATATAACATCTAGCTTTCACTTTTTTAATTTCATGGTTTCGTTCTTTTTACATTTCTAGGTTTGTAATTTGAATTTCTATGTTTTTTTTGTGTGTTGTATTTTTATTTTATGTTTAATGAATTTTAAGTTTTAAAAAAAATAATATGTTTGAAATACATTTTTTCTATATTAATTAAAAAAAGGTAGCATGGCAAGTGTGGCAACTCGCGCCATGAAAATGACAAGTTTTGACTAAAGTGTGGAAAATATGTCGTGGTGCCTACGTGGACCGTGGCAAGTGTAGCACCACACCCACAAGCCTTGTATGATTCTCAGTCTCGATTTTCTTCTTTTCTTATTAATCTGCTTTCTCACTCTCGATCTCGCCTTCACTCAATCTCGATTAAAGACGACGCACACAGTAACATATCACATTTTCTGGCTTCATCTGCAATATACAACCACACTTCCTATTTCCTTAATCTAGTGATTACCGTCTAGTCGCTCACTCACCCTCATTCTCCACTTGGTTCCGGCTATAACATTTGATAAAACTTGTGAATTTTTATTTATACATTTTTTGGTTGTTTGTTTCTCATTTCGATTTTTGACAATATTATTTTCTGACTTATGAGTCCAATAGTTTTTTATTAGGTTCAAATTATCAGATATATTATTTTGTTCAACTCTTTCTCAGTTTCTCATTATCAAAATTTTGTTTGATCAAATTCAAAGCTTTTGTATAATCTAATTAGAAGTTTATGTTTCAAATCTTCTGATTTTTTTTTGTTGTGATTTGATTTTTGCAAAGTTTCAGTTTCAACTTACTTATGTGGACTTCTTAAGGTAATATGCATATGTTAATCCAAGTTGTTGGTTATCATATTTTATTTATTTATAAGATATTCAGATTCTATGACTTTTGTAAATTTTATTTTGCAACTTGCTTTGATATTTAACTTCTCCAAACTTGAGGAATTCTTTCCTTGAAGTAGTGTTTAATTATTGACAATCATACAATACAATGTTGCCTGAAAAGCATTTATTTGGAAGCCAACAAAGAAAGAAACGAAAAATTGTTGATGCTCTATACAATCTCAAAAAGGGTATATGGATAAGTTTTTTTAAACCTTTGAGTTCTTATTTAAATGATATATATATATATATATATATATATATATATATATATATATATATATATATATATATATATATATATTAAAGTTCTCAACAAAAGGAATAGTAAACTTACCACTTTTTTGGCAGAATTTGTCCCTACACTTTGCTCCTTATTTTTTACTTATTTTGACACTTTTGGTCCTTGCAATCAATATTTTTACACTTTTTAGGAACCTTTTAATATTTAAAGTTTGGCCACAAAACTTTAACGGTTTGACAACTTTGATCCCTTTTCTAAAAATTTGCTAATTCCTACCCCTTTACTTATTTAGCCATTTTGACACTTCTGATCCTTGCAGTCAAAACTTATACATTTTTTCATAAAAACATGAAAAAAACGGTCCGGGGCAAAGCCCGGGCTTTTCATTCTTGCACTTTCTACGTCTGTCATATTTATCGATTCGGAAACAACATTGAAAGCTTTTGGCCCCCGCGTAGCGGGGGTAACCTTTCTAGTTTGAATGAAAATGATACTAATTTGAATGAAAATGATACTCTCTTGAATGAAGAAAATACTAATTTGAATAAAGAAAAGGGATAATGCCATAAAAAGCTTTAAGTTTGACCAAAAGTGTCGGTTTTACGCTCCGACAAATTTTTGGTTTGTTTATGCCGCAAACTTACCATTTTTTTTGTCGATTTTGCCTTTTTTACCAGTAATAGCAGGTTTCCAACTTACCATAAAATATTATTTCCGAAAAAACTCTTAAGTTCACAAATATTTTGCAAAAAAAACCCTTAAGATTATAAATCTTAATAATGGTCTCGAATATATTATTAAGGATTCTCTAATTCGTATTGATGAACACGAATTGACACCGCCTCCTATAAAGACCGAATGTAATAAAATCATTCTTAGTAAGGTTAATATATTTCGATAGAGAGTTGTCTTGGACTGTTTTCCTATCAAAACAAATTTGTCTAGCTGTGATATTGACATTCTTTATTCCATATGCCCGATTTGTAAAAACTCTATAGAAAGATATTCAACATGTGCTCATCAAGTGTTAAGTAATATCCCAATTTTTTCTCAAGATAAGTTGTTGGTGTGATATATGCTTGTCTAATCTTATTCTTATTTGTGATTTACGTGGTTTTTCGATTCGTTGTATATATCCATGGCTCATAAAGCAGTTTTGGAGATGATCATAGTCACTATATATGTGGTGACATTATTTCCATGCAATTATTTGTTAAAAGGGAAATAAACATATTTTATATGTTTAAAAGATTTGTATTTCGGAAATAATAATATTACCATATTTTTTCAATAAAAATAAATGTAGTTGTATAAGTTATTATTTTTGAAAAACACACATAAAAAAAATTAATTGAAAATTTTAACTATTTTAGCATAGTTAATTATTAGCTAACAAGACGTTTTTAATTTTGCTTTGAAATTTTTAAATATTAATTGAGAAATATATACAAAATTTGATAAAACTAAATAATTTTTTTAAAATTTAAATATCGAAAGTTTATATCGAACCAATATAAAATTTACTATACTTAAAGGTGAAAATATGTTTCAGTTTTGGTTTCATAATATAAGTACGGTAAATTTTATATTGGTTTGATATAAACTTTTTATATTTATGAACTTAAGGGTTTTTTCGCAAATAGTATTTCATGGTAACCTGAAAACCTGCTATTACAGGTAAAAATGACGAAACCGACAATTAAAATTTCCAGAGGATGATCTAAAGTATATCACTTCATCCTAACGATTTCATCTTTTTGTTTGACTTCGCATGGTGATGCACCTACAATGTAATGTTATTTTAAAACTAACTGGTAACGTAGCGTTAAGTATTTGTATGTTATTTACAGAGGGTAAAGTTGTGAGTGAAGGAAGAAATATAATTCATCAAGAAGGCGACCGAGTTTGTGTTTTCTTTTGAAAACAGGTAATTTTGTTGTAAGTATGTACACATGGAAAAAAAAAGGTTACACATGGAAATTTTTCCGGCCAAATCACCACCAGAAACAACCACCAGCCACCACAAGATACAAGTTCCAGGGACATGTGGTGGTAGCGGGGCTGTTTGAAATCAGAAGATGCCTGAAAAACAAAATCATGAAAAAAAAAAGGTTACACAGGGAAATATGATTACAGCCAGCAGGTGAAACTATTGATTCTTTTTGTGTCAGATGAGTTATTTTCTAACTTCATAAATTGACAAGAATAATCATTATCTCTATGAAATTAACAGTATGTTTATCTATCCCAAGATTACTGAAAAAAGAACCATTTCACATGACCAATAATCAAACAGAAAAAATGCCTAAAATTTGAATTTTAAAAGCATGAAGTTTGACTACTGTGAAAAAGTCAAAATAAAATGCCTTCATAAAGAAGCCAAACTACGTAATAAGATAAAATCCAAAAAATATAGATAATAAGTCAATAACCCAGAAACTCGAGCAGTTGAATACACTAAAAAATACACAAATAACTAAAAGGAAAGACCACAAAGAACCGGTTTTTCATTCAACCGTTTGAACTTTGAACAAAAGAATATGTCTATCATTCAGGATTCTTGATTTGCACTTGCCGATCAATCCAAAGAATAGATTTAACATAAGAGTAACTAAAGTATCAATTTGTTGGGAATCAAATCTTTTAACAAAAGGGGTTTATTAGGAACATGGTTTTGAATAACCTTGAAGCAGAAGAGTTGGTCATCAAGTCAATTCAATCAAATAAGGTAGAGAAACATGTAAATGATGATGGACAAAGGAAACAAATGTTGGTGATTTTATCACCAAATATATTTTAGTGTAATGGATTTAACAAGTGTTTCAAGAATAATGTTTTAGTTATAATACAAGTTAGGAGGTGTGGGGAGTGCACACTTGTATTTACTAAACATTGTTAGTACCGAACCCTAATCTACTGTGTCAAGTCGAGGTTTAGAACAGTACAAGGACTAATCTGTTATTCTTGAAAAATGAAAATTCAAGGACTAATCTGTTTTTTCTGAAAGTTGCAAACTGTTCTTGTTTATCCGTTGAGTGGATAAATCCGGGAAAAATAACGACTTTGAAACACAGAAAACGGGAAACGCTTTCTTCTTTATCTTCTCAAAATTGATTCTGATTCTGTGCCTAAAATCAGAATTGTTACATCAGGAATTATCCCAGTTTGGATTTCGTGATACCCAAGGCATATACGGTCGAAATATCAAACAAGGAAAGTGTTAACACGATTCCTGTTTGTGATCCAGATTTCCAATAACCCTATTTCGTTTTTCCCCAACAACAAATGAGTGCTATAAGAAATCCCAAGGCATGAACCATGGTACAATGCTGTAATCTTACCTATTATGCTATATATAGCTGACTTCAAAATGAGCCAAATTGCACATGTGAATTCAAATGTTTCTCTAGAACTGCCATCCCTGTTGGAGATTACAAGTGGTAACTTAGAGAGTTATGTTAAACTTTTTTGTTCCAGAAACATTAACCTGTGAGTAATATAACCAAAGGAGACATGACATACCTCTTGTTGATAGGTCTTTATAAAGGAGTTTGGGTCTTCCGTTGTTTGACACAATCCAAAAGTTGCATTTATTAACTTCAGCTCCGGGGTAGTTAATTGTCCACAGGTGAAAACTGTTATTTGTGGACAATCTTTGATTTCCAAAGCATCTAGCGATAGCCATTCAAAAGCCTCCTCTCCCAAGCAAAATCCCTTGAGATTTGGAAGGTTGTGAAGTGTTATGGATTTCAGACAAGGGAACACAACCTCAGTAGTCGGTCTGGTTTCAGAATCTTCAACTTGCTTCACAATCACATCCATATTCTTGCAGTTACTTATTTGTAGCTCTTGGAGCTGTGATAGACTACCAATCATGCAACTAGTGAAAACGTGTCCAAGAAGGTTACAACTTACAATTGACACCTTTGTAAGGTTTGGAAAGTTCAACACTATCCACCGATTGCTCTTCCACATATGCTTCAGATTATTTAATCTACCCAAAGTCACCTCTTTCAGCTTCTCAAATACCACAACAGATTGTGTTTCAAAATCGACATCTTCATTTGTCCCTTCTGCTACTTCAAATACCTCCTCTATTTTAGATTCATCATAGTTCCCGGTAATAGAAAGCTTTTCAAGATTCTTCAAATTTAGCAACTCCTTGCATGGAAAAATTATGCTGCTTTTCAACAATTTGTCACCATACTCATGTGCATCTACTTCAACTAAATTTGAAAAAGACCACGGGAACTGAACTAGCTTTATCATATCTGGAGTGTAGTACATAAGGAGTTGAGTCTGCTAAGAAAAAACAAACATAAATCATCAAAACGCTACAATTATAAAGGACAAATACATTTAGTATATAAACATATTAAAAGATTGTAAGTTATATTATTCTTTTCTGAATCAAAATTTATTAGAAATCGACAGTCTAGCTAGTTTATGACACTACCTACATTAGTTCTTTTTTGTGCGTCAAAATGAGCAATGTGGGGAATAGGGTTCAAAGAATTAAGATTTATATATCGTATTATTATTATACATATATATTTTTATTTCATACTAAAATATAGCAAGAGATATATGGACGTTATATTTATACTTTTACAACAATCTCATCTACACAATTTTACTTCAATTTTAGTAGGGGTGGAATTGGTACGGTACCAAGTTTTTTTCCTCCAAACCGTGTACCGTACCAATTGTAGTTGGCATACAGTTTTACCCACCAATACCGTACCAACGATACTTGGTATCAACTTAGTTGCCTACCAACAAATTTGGTTGGTACAGATTGGTATTGGTATATACCAAAAAATTTAAATAATATTTATATTTGAAGAGTTTGAGACTTGATAATCTATATAGGTCTTCATGTTATAATCATCACTGAATGGTTAGAAGGTTTTCCAAACATGAATATGAGCTGAAGTTGTGGTCGTCGTTTGTGTTTAGTAAATCCTTTTAGTGTTATGTACCTTCCTTAACCTTGTATTAGTAATTTCTTTTACTATCACATTTCGTTCAAAAAAGAATCAATATCAATAGAATTATATTAGTAACTCCCAATATTACTTGTTAGTTGTTACTTCGAATTAAAACTTGAAAAATGTAAGAATTGATATATATATATATATATATATATATATATATATATATATATATATATGTGTGTGTGTGTGTGTGTGTATGTATGTATATATGAATTGGTTGGTATGGTACAACCGTGGTATTCAAAATTTTGTACCGTTACCGTACTAAGACTACTTAATTGGCATGGTATTACCGGCCAAACATATTGGCAACCAAACATGTTGGCTACCGATTTTATTGGTTCGGTTGGTAACATGTTGGTTGGTTCTTTGTGGTACATATTTGTCAGCCCTAAATTTTAGTTAATTGAAGCTACATAGATTGTTAGTTTGGAAAAGACTACGAGAGAAAAGAACAACTTGATTAAGTAACTACTTGCATCACAATAGTTATTAATGATTTTTGTTAGGTAAGTTAATTAAATTGGGTGAAAACAAATGATTTAATTACAAAATATTGTTGCATAATTACTGATTTAGGATTTAGAAAAAGTATATGAATTGGTTACAATAGAACCATTTCTTGTAATTTTAACATGATTTAAATCAGAATAAACTTGCCAAATATCTTTTATAATACATAAGAACATAATCTTTTTATATTCATGTATTTAATCTAAATGGCGTTTAACTTGTTACATCTTCTATTTTAGGAAACTTAACTATTACGTGCTCCAAATTCAAAATGGTTTTCAGAGGCTCACTTGAATAGTTGTTATTCCAATCCATTAATAATTAAGTGTTTTTTTTTGTGAATAAGAACTTTTCTCTTTTTTTTTTGTAAATAGGACCCATAACTTTTTTTTTTTTTTGTGAATTTAAAAAATATAACTCTATATTAAAGTAAACAAAAACAATTTTGAGATAAAAATAAAATAAAAAATATCAATAATGTTTAATATTGGTATTATTTTTAAAGGTTCTAACAAAATCTTTTAGCAATATAATTTGTTAGAAATAATACATATTTTTATTATGTAAGCTAAGTTTATATATATTGAAATATTGCATGTGTAAACTATAAGCGAATGGTGTGACTGATAACTTTTACATAAATAAAATGGTTGTAGATGAAAATTAAATGTTTTCTTAATCAACAAGTATATGGGACCCTGACATTCAAATGAGTTTAATTAAATCTTACAAAAAAATTAAACTTTTTGTATCTTTGGACCTCGAAAAACCCACCAATAGTGAGTGCTGCAATTGGCCGTTGTCTTTAGTTCATCCAACTTAATATGGAAACTAAGTAGTTAACTTATGTATGAGTGAATTTAACACTCTTCTTAACATAACACACAATTTAATATCACAGGGATAAACGAATTAATTATAATAAAATAAATTGCAAATTTTCCTAAATTTGGATATAAGAAATGGGAGGTGGTTATGTATTTGTATTTGGTTTTGTTTTGTGGAATACACACACGTGAACCACTTAAATATGTAAGCAAATAATATCTTTAAATAACATAACACAATTACTTGATTAGACGTTGTCAGTAAAGTAACAACATACCTCGTGCATTGCATTTGATGGCTGGAAGTCGAGGCCACATTCAAGACTATGCTTGCCTATTCCTGTATGTATGTAGTTGAGCTTCAGAGCCTTCGAGTGACCAGATGTGAAAGTCATCATTTGTGGGCAACCATAAATCTTAACCTTTTCCAATATTGGCCACCTGAACTCATTCATCCCCAAGAAGAAACCCTTGAGATTTGGTAAGTCGCCCAGTGTAAAAGACTTCAGACGAGGGAAGACTATTATAGATTTAGATGTTTCTCTGTGCTCTCCATCTTCCTTCACTATCACGTTCATTGCCTTGCATTCTTCTACAGTCAATTCTTTGAGATGCTTGAGGCTTTCAAGTGTGGAACTTGTGAATATATATTCCAAACCTTCACATCTTTCTATTTTCAATATCGTTAGGTTGGGCAATTCAAGCAAAGTCATATTTGCGGACCTTGGGATGGTGATTGCAGTACAAGTATCATCACTTCCATCACCAACATTAGTAGTACTATCAACACCATTGCTGTTGGCCCCTTCAATTTCAAATATCTCCACCATTGATTTGCACCTCCATATTCTCAACTCTTCAAGCTTATGCAGTTGTCCCACTACAGAGCATGGAAACACTCTTGATAGGGCAGGACAATTATATATCTCAATCCTTTTGGAGTATCGGCATAAGAACCAAGAAGCAACACCGACTTGAGAACACTACAACAATACATGAAAAATCAATGGAGCTGATTGAATTAACAAATCTTAGCTGTTTGCTATGCGCATACAAACTGCTTATATGTTAAAATATTAACACAACATTTGCTTATTATAAATGTGGTTACAAACACCAGGAGGGCTCCTCATATGACTAAGGTACTTAAGTAACAATGTCGCGAAGAGAAACATAATGTGCAATCAATATACTTATACTTTCGTACCTGCATTGATTAAATCATCTTCTTTGTGTTTTAAACAATTTAACCAACATAAATGGTTAGGACGCAATGACAAAATGGAGAACAACTTAGTGTGGAGAATGTTAGCATCTCAATCACTATTAATAATTGATTTATTCAAAGTTTTCCATCATGTGTGTATGTGTTACATCTTAACCTAAATTTTTTTGTCTAGCTTATCTAATGTTTATAAAGGAAAAGAATATAGTAGTAGCATTTATGAAAATAGAATTTTTGATTGTAAACTCCAAGGGGAAAATACTATTATACTATTATCAATATCAGTGTCTATTGGGAAAATAGAGGTCCAGTCATTATACATGAGGTTGCAGGTAAACAAAATAGATAAATAAATAAAATCATTTTTGTTCCAATATTCATATTACCCAGAGGCGAGCCTACACTATGTTCAAGGGTGTCCATGGACACCCCTTGTTGAGATTTTCCTTTTACAAATTGTATTCTATTTTTCAATTGGACACCCTTGTGATTACAAGAGTGACACCCGAATACCATATCTTGAAAGTCAACAAACAAAACTAATATTTTTCTTTTATGGATTTGATATTTATCATTTCGACATAATAAAAAAAATAAGGAAAAAGGGAAACTAATTAATATTAAGATGGTAAACAAAAATAAACAAATCTCGATCAGATAATAGAAGCTAGAAGCTGGTTACTGATTTTGAATTTGTGATCTCATTAAATTATAATAATAACAAAGATCATAACTATTCAAGATAGGAACGTAAAACCTAAAGAAAACAAGAAATGCATATTTTTGGTATTTGAAGCTTCTTGGGGAAAGCACCACGCTACCGAGCATAGATACCCACGGACGGCTCCACTCTTCTTCTTCGCACTCCGCCATTGTCCTCAGCGTCTCAGCCATCTCGCATCTTGTTTGCTTAGTTCGATAGTTCTTTGACTCTTGAGTAAGTTATAAGTACTTTTTTCTTCTTATCATGTGTTGTTGGTGGGTTTGTATTGCAGAAAATATATTGTGGGTTTATGGGGAAGGCACAAAGTAGGGTGGGTAACAAAAGTCTAGATGTACTAGAGAATAAAAGTCAATAAATAATGGCAGCAAGTTGTTTCTAGTATAATTTTATTATTATTTTTTTCATATTTGTTGTAATATCTTATATTTTATTAATTTATTTATTTTGTATTTATAATAGCTATATTTGTGATTTACGTTGAACAATCAAATAACTTAAATTTGATTAACTTTATTATTATTTTTTTATTTTATGAAATATGCATTAGATAAAATTAACAACAATTAGCATATAAATTATATTTAAAATATGAAAATTCATGGTAGAATATATTCTTTTAGCTATGTTGAATTTTTGACATCGTAACAACAAACTTATAAATTACTTTTAAAATATAAAAAATTGTGGTAGGCAATTATTTATTTATTTTGGTTATGTAAGAATATTTAATATATTACTTAATATATTTTATTTAGATGCATATTATTTGCAACATGGTCTTCATAACTAATTTTTTGTTACTCATATATTTTGTTACCTCAGTTAACTTGGACATGCGGTATTTTCTATCATATATTCGTTATTATCAACTTGACCCGAACCGATAACCAAACTTTTTCAGACATGTTAATTTAAATATCTCAATTAAGATGGACACCCTTGAGTTTGAATCGTGGATTCGCCACTGATATTACCTAACAAAAATTATCAATACTGTTGAAATGAGTAATATGTTAGGATCGAGACACTTAACACACGACTCTAAACACACACACAGCTCACGAAAAACAAGAACACAATGATGAACATGAGGGATTTAACGTGGTTCGGTCCTTCTCTGACCTACGTCCACCGGTAACTAGGAATTTACATTTCTTGGTGCTAATCTGCAATCTTTCTGTGTTACACTAGATACAAGTTTTACAAATACAGAATAATCTCTTATATAGAGATGGAAATCAGAAGTAGTCAAAAAAACACAACTGGGTCTTCATTCAACAATTGTGGCTTCACAACTTCACATTGTTCCTGCCATTTTTGACCAGCTTTTCTGTGGATTCACACTCAACATTTATGTGGATTCACACTCAACATTTCTGTGGATTCATACTCAACAATCTCCCACTTGAAGCCATGGAACAATCTTCACCTGTGCTTCAACTGTGCATCTGTATTTGATCTTAACTCCTTCCTAGTTACTTTGGCCTTCTCTTCAATTAACCTGAAGGCCAGTTGAAGCTTTCGTTATGTGACAACCGTCAAATTTCGGTCAAGTCAAAGTCAAACAAAGTCAACAAGTCAAACCGGTCAACTCCATTAACCCTTGTATGTTAGGGTTTACATTATACAATTCGCTATTTCAATGAGAAAACATCATTTGAAAAAATTCATGTGTTTGATTTTCCTTAGCCTTAACAGTGCTAAACAACGAACCAAAACGATAAAACACTATTGCACAATCATCGGGATTGTGTAAGACACTAAATCATGGCTTAACGGGGTTTATGGACCTTTCGTTGCGAAGCCGGACACTCAAAAAGATCACAAACGAAACCTCTCACAATCTCTTTCACTCAACCTCTCTCTATTAAAATCTCTCCCGAATCTCTCCCAAATCTCTCTCAAAAGTTCCTTTAAATTTTTGTAATCATTCGGGCCATCCCGACCCTTAACTGGGTCAAAAACCACTTAAAACGGGGTAAAAACGGGTAAAATAGGCTTAAGGACCCAAAACTGAAGCTTCAGGACCGAAGTCCCTGTCATAAAGGAAGACGACACACATTTGTCTGTCGTAACCTTACGACGCGCGTGTTGATGACACGCAATGAGTATCAAGGAAGCCCCTGTCATAAAAGAAGACGACATGCATTTTTGCGTGTCATAATGTTTCCGGTTTTTCGACTACGACTTTGTTTTAGGCCCGTTTTTCATCATTTTAACGCGGGATTTTCACCAAAAAACTTTATTTTTACAGTTAGAACTCTATATGTCAGTAATCCCCACGTTTTTAGGGCCATTCATACCAATAATTAGTAGGGGAGGTGCTTGAGGTGGAAAGATGACTTTACTTTACTTTATGTCACATGCCACCACTCACACCCACTACATGGCCAACTCTTTCCCACTACATGACCAACTCTTACCCACTACATGACCAACTCATACCCACTACATGACCAGCCCCACTCCTTGTCTAAGTATAAAAACCCATCCCCTCTCTTCATACTTCTTTCATTCTCTCATTTTCCTCCAAGGATCACACTCCAAATTCTCTCACCATTCTCTCTCAATTCCAAGACTTCCAAGGCTGATTATCAAGCTTTCTTCCACTCTTGGTAAGTATAATTCATTCTTCTTATGATTATTACACATCCTTCTACTCAAAATCATAAGAATCTTACACAAACATCGTCACCTTCATGTTAGGTTCTCGATTCGTCAAGGCATCTTCTAAGTGTTCTTGGGTTGAACACTTCTCTTCTCCAACATCCATCCTATAATAACACATAAGGTGAGTTCATACCCCTACATTTACATGTTTTTCTTAAGTTTTAAGGGGGGAATACAAGTAAAATCATCAAGAACACAATTAAACTTTTTCTAACAGATTACATCAGAAAAGATGGACGTTAATCACGGACTGTTTTGGTCAACTTACATATTTTAGTTTTCAAAACTGTTCCAGGTGCAAGTAGTTCAAACTCTTAGCTTTAAAATGACTACTTGCACATCTCCATATGATTTTTCTACAATTTATGGTGATTTTTACAAAACTGCTTGTCATTTCAGAGGCAAACCCGGACCAGTCTGTGATTATGAACATTTTCACCTCTGTTAGAGATCACTAAAAATCATGATAAAATTTACGAACAAACTAGACTCATATTCCAAACTCTCAGAATTTGCGGATTTGGATTTAGAGCTTTGATGAGTTTTCTATAAATTTTCTAAGAACAGTAACAGAAACTGTATTCAATGAAAAGTTGCTGTCAATTTCATTTCACCTTGTAACATGTTGAGCAAGGTGTATATCTTTATGTGATTATATGTTATTGCAATATATGACATTTTATCTTAATATGTAGACACACATCAGTTTACAAATGGGTTTGGTCATATAAAATATAAAGAATAACAAGTGATTATAATCAAAGTACAATCGATACATTCAAACATTTAATAAACTATTTTGAATATAGTTTGCATACATTACCACGTACTACCCTTGGTTGATAAACTATAATAGGTATAGTTTATGATACATTACATAACACATACATTTAAAAAGGGTACATTTATACAAAGGATATTTTCATTAAGCAAGGTACGGCCATACGGTACCAAGTTTTCATAACACGTAATTCCGTTAATGACTTTGTGAGACATTTACTTCAAATTACCATTAAGTCCTGTATTGTAACCAGAGTCTCCTTGAGGGAGAGCGTGATACTTGTGTATAGATCTATATTGGGTTTGACAAACCCACACCTAAGCTGCATGCAACAGCTAGACCGGCAGGTCTGGGGTGACAAATGTCATAACATTTCCGACGCCTGAAGAACGTCGTTTCAGGCCAACTAGGTCATAGCATGGTTATAATAACTCACATAAAGTATTAATAAACATTGGAATTTACGGGAACTTCATTAAAATTTAACGAGTTTATGTCGATTTAAACTTGCATTGTTTTACTATAAATATGACAAATTACTTGTATATATCGGTCTTTGGGTTTTAAGACTACATTTACACATTAAGGAAAATATTGGATTTTCTAACACAAATACTACTTTCACTAACGAAAGGCTTTTAATAATACCAAACAAAAGCTTATGAACTCACCAACCTTTGTGTTGACACTTTTTCAAACAACTTGTATTCTCAGGAAATCATTAAACAGGTAATCAAGTGCTTTTGAGGATGGGACGCTAAGGCGTCTACTATTTCATATTTTGTCAACATATTGTAATTGATTCGTAAACATGTAATTCATACAATGATGTAACTTTTTCAATTATATATATGTTGGTTGTGTTTGCTTGAATTACTATTACAATTGTTGTTATGATACTATACATGAAGTCCTCCACCCCCGGACGTTTCTTCCATCCTTGGTTTGGGGGTGTGACACGTTAGCTCCAACGCATCAGTCATGGCTAAGTCTGCCACTGACCTGTTCTCTGTCTCCACCGGCTCCCACTGAAATGAACTGCCCGATCCTGGAACATCCTGAGAACAAACGACACTCTCCATGTGAAGCAGATAATCTGGAGAGACTTTTACAGATGGAATACTGGTTCTCTTAACCCACTGTGTTCTGGGTATTCTAGCTGAAACAAAGCCCATGCTCCCACTGCTATGAATGCCCTTGACTGGTTTTTCTGAACCGTTCCAAACATGTTCAACCTGAATCTGACCTGTGACTCTGGGTTTGCCATCTGCAAAGCAAACCTTCTTCTGTCCACGAGACTCTATGAACCGGATTTTGTTTTTCATCTGAACTGGGACGGTTACTCCCTCAGACGGTAAACTGACCATATATAATGAACCCCTCTTATGTCCACGAGCTATCACAAGATTTCCTTTGACAACCTTCCACTGCCCATTCCTGAACTTAACCTCGTGTCCCTGTTCATCCAACTGCCCAACAGAAATCAATTGTTTCTTCAGACTTGGAATTACCCGGACATCCTTCAAAGTCCATGGACCAACTGGAGTCTTCAAATCTAAGTCACCTATGCTCGTCACATCAAGAACCTCATAGTTCGCCAGTCTTACCTTACCAAAATCTCCTTCTTTCAGATTCTGCAGTGCTTCACGGCTGTGGGTAGCGTGAAATGAAGCACCCGAATCCATAACCCAGGAATCCACATTGCTCTCCACACTACAGATCAAAACATCATCATCTGAATGGTCTACTGCAACGTTAACTTCTTTCTTGTCTTTTGGACATTGATTCCTGAAATGTCCAACCTCTTTACAGTTCCAACAAGTCACATCATTTCGAGTCCTCGACTGACTCCTTCTCCTGTTCCCGCTCCCACTACCTCTGTTATTTCTTCTACCTCTGACCGCATTCAATTGTTCACTTGATGATTCCCCGGAATTTCTTCGTCTGACGTCTTCGCCTAGAATTAAATCCCGAATTCCCTCAAAAGTGAGCTCTTTCGATCCTGCGGAACTAGTAACGGCTGTAACTGTTCCGGACCAACTGTCAGGTAATGATGATAACAGTAGTAAAGCTTGAACTTCGTCCTCAAATTTTATTCCCACTGACCCAAGTCTGGATAAAATCGAGTTCAAATTGTTGATGTGTACTGTAACTGAACTTCCTTCCCTCATCCTCGTGTTGACTAGTTCCCGAATCAGGAAGACTTTATTTGCTGCCGACGGCTTCTCGTACATATTAGACAATGCCTCCATGATTCCCTTTGCCGAGGTCTCCTTCAAAATGTTGAAGGCAATATCCTTTGACAAAGTCAGTCTAATAAATGCCTTGGCCTTCTTATCCAAAGTCTCCCAGTTTGCTTGTGTGATCGCCTCCGGTTTTTCACCTAAAACTGCGTCCAAGTCTTTCTGTACGAGCAAATCTTCAATTTGCATCTTCCACCAACCAAAATCTTTCCCATCAAACTTCTCAATCTGAAGCTTACTGCTTTCTGCCATTTTCTGAAAGATTAGAGGCTAAACTGCAATTTTCTGAAAGTTCATGGGCTAAACTGCAATTTTCTGAAAGTTCAGGGGCTAAACTGCAATTTTTAAAATCTGCTACAGTGTTGCTACAGTGTTGCTACAGTGTCGTCTTCTCTGGCGGAACTCCGGTCTACAGTGCCGTCTTCTCCGGCGGAACTCCGGTCTACAGTGTCGTCTTCTCCGACGGAACTGGTTTTTCCGGTCACTATTCCGGCAAACCTTTGACTGGCGATTTGGACGTCTTCCGGTGGTCAAAAAATTCAGAAAAAAATATTTTCGGAATCTTCGGAACGAGACCTTTCCAACGGTATACACCAAAATCGTTTTTTGACGAAAAAAAATTTCGTTCCTGCCATTTTTGACCAGCTTTTCTGTGGATTCACACTCAACATTTCTGTGGATTCACACTCAACATTTCTGTGGATTCATACTCAACATAATATGCATCATTTCAATCAATTTTTCTCTCCTTTACGATTTGGTCCAAAATTGACCATGTATGTACGTTAATTTAACTGAAATTGGATAACAAATGCATTTGATATGTTTTACAACCCTGCGATCTATAAATCTCTTTAATAACCTATGCACGAGAGAAAAAAAAAACCCTGTAAGAATTGGGTATGTAGTTATTCGTTTTGTCTTTCCAGCAGAATTATAATAGAAAAAAAAATAAAAGAAATAATTGAATATAAAGGATCCACTTAAAAGAAATGATACCTTGAACTGATCATGGATGGAAGTAGTTGTGATTGTAGTACCGCCATCAATACTCTTTAGACATGGCAGATTCCACAGGACGAGATAATCAAGAAGAGGGAAGGATATGGTGTTTGTTGTGAGTAGATGTAATTGCCATTTCTTCATTTTCATCATTAATATCTCTATTCGAAACAACTTCTTCAATACCATCACAATCATGTATATGGACGTCCTTTAAGTTGGGAAGAAGTTTGCCCATGAGAGGTGAAAACAAGTACTTTATGCTTTTGCATCTGTACATGCGTATCGTTGTGAGGTTGTGGAATGAGTAGGATTGTGATTGGTTTTGAGGAATTACAAGTTTCTTCCAATTGCACTTCCACACATCACTCATCCTCATCATATCAAATAACATCAATTCCTTGAGGTAGGGAAGTAGTAGTAGTGGTTGATAATTATGCAGAGTTGTTGTGAAATCTGTGTTGCTGCTACTGGAACTCTCTATCTCAAACACCACTTCAACATCCTTACAGCCCTCTACCCAAAGGATTTCAAGGTGATTAAGAATTGAGAATTCAACGTCAGGAATATTACCATGCACCTCTGAAATGATATCTTCCTTGGATATAACATTAATCTGCACATATCTCAACAACAAATATAATTCAGAATTTCCAATAACTAAAATTTAAATTAATTATTCATAAATGGCACACCTGTCTAAATCTATTTACATAACTAAAGTTGACAGCAATTAAATTAACGGATTTTAAATAATTTCCAATGATGACTTATTTGATACCTACAATAAATATGCAAAATACTCGCACTTACACAAATACATAAAAATAACATTTTTAGACTAACATACAAAATTGGTTATCTGGTTTTTTGTTTAGGTACAAAAAAATCATTTTGCAATTCTGATCCCCATCAATCACACTGTTAACTTAAGTCTGTTAAAGCCTTATAAAACAACTATTTTACCCTTCTCTGATTTTGTAATTATCATTGAACTTATCCATAGGCCCCCACCCACATATCGCCCCACTGTCCCCTTCTTTCCCCTGTCACCATCTTCCTCACCTAGTGATAGGCCCCCAGTCCTTCAGGTTTACACTCGTAAGTGGGGCTGGTCCAGTCCAGTGATCTGCAGGGGACAGACCAAGGGTAATTTGGTCTTTAGGAGCTCTTTTTGCTGCAGCTGTTACGTGGGAGACATCTTTAGTGGGAGAGGAATGTTCTTTTTCTTTTCATGGCTGCTTCTTGTCCTTTTTTGTCCTTTCTTTCCAGTATTTATAGTTAGAGGTGGTATCCGTTTGGGTATGCAGAAATTTGTAATTGCTTAGGCAAACTTGGAGAGCACTCACCTCTCTAAAGTGAGATTATCCCTATTTCTATGAAAATCATTTCAGTTCAATTCCATCTTATTCTTCTTTGAATAAAGAGTTATAGTTTTGTGATAAGATCATCAGGAAAGAGCTTATCAGGTGGTATCAGAGCAATTTCCAATGGGAGGGGCATCATGTTAGGAACCGGACCGGGTACACGCAGCGGAAACACGCTATCACACACACACAAACTCATGAAAATAAAGCAAGAAGAACACAAGGATTTTACGTGGTTCGGATTCGGTGCAAATCCTACGTCCACGGGCTGCAACTAGATAATTTTATTAAAACTCACAAGATTACAATTGGCTTGACACTCTACACTTGATGTTCTCTCAAGTTTTTGCACACAAAATATGCAAAACATACATGCATATATATAGGTATATTTGTGAGCCGCAATATGCACAGGATTGCCGCAAAGATTGACTTTGAAAATTTTGCCATTCACATTAGCCGTCCAACAAATATTAAATAATTGTCCACCGACCATTTGAATATTTAATTCAAACGTTTGCCGACAACAATTGAATAATTCAATTGTTAAATGTAATGTTACATTTATGGCCCTTGAACTCTTAGGAACTTGTCAATTTGTTCAAGACTCCATAAATCTTAACAATCTCCCACTTGGAGGCTTGAACAACATGGTCCGTCTCTGTCATCCAACTCCAGTAATCTTAAAACAACCAAGTCCTTCAAGCTTCCAGTTCCAAAGAACAAGCTAAAACTTAGTCTGATTTATCTAATTGCAGCCGCCCCTCATCTTCAAGTACTAGAAGGGCCAATTGAAGCTCCCACTAGCTCCAACTCAGTCGTGGCTAATCCCACCACCGACTCATCCTCTGTCTCAACCGGTTTGGACACTCCACCAGATCCAGAGATACACCGAGGACCACTAACACTCTCCAATCTTTGCAAACTTCCAACAGGAGAGAATTTTTCAGTCTTAGTCTTCAAAACCCAACGGCTCTTTGTAACTGTACCCGGAACACGTCCCGTGCTCCCACTGTCACAGAATCCCCTGAATGGTTTAGACTTTCGAACTCGTTCAGCTAACATCTCTTTGGCTCCAGAATTCATGTTTGCAAAATGAACTCTCTTAGCCGTAGATTTAGCGAACCAGATTTTGTCTTGTTTAACAGGGACGGTCATACTTCCCTCAGCAGGTACCTCAACAATATACAATGACCCACACTTCATACCACGAGCAATCACCAGATCACCATTGACCACCCTCCATTTACCACTACCAAACCTTACTTCCAGTCCTTGTTTATCCAGCTGACCAACAGAAATCAATTTTTTCTTCAGCTCCGGAATAACCCTGACATCCTTCAGGCTCCATGCAGTTCCCAATGAAGTAACTAGATCAATATCTCCCATGCCCGTTACTTGAAGCATCTCGTCATTTGCTAACCGTACCTTTCCAAAATCTCCTTTTTTTTAGATTCACCATCGTTTCCCCGTTGTCCATAGCGTGAAACGAAGCCCCTGAATCCATGAACCAAGAGTCCACAGAACTTTCCATATTGAGTATCAGTGCATCATCCTCAGACACACTCTCAGCACCAGCAATGTTTAATTCTTTCTTTGGACATTGACTCTTAACATGTCCCACCTCTTGGCAGTTCCAGCATTTCACATTCTTCAAAGTTCTAGAAGAACTTTTTCCCCGACTCCCACTGCTCCTGCTATTCCCTCTACCTCTTCCGACATTTAATAAATCAGAAGAGGAAGATCCACCTTGATTCTTGCGTCTGATATCCTCGCCTAGAACCAAATCTCTAACCCCTTCAAAAGTCATACCACTGGTCCCCACGGAACTCGTAACAGCAGTAACTGTTCCGGACCAGCTATCAGGTAGAGAAGCTAGTAGCAGTGATGCTTGAGTCTCGTTATCAAATTTAATTCCCACAGATGATAATCTGGACAGAATTGAATTTAGATTATTAATGTGAATCGTAACTGAGCCTTCCTCATTCATCCTTGTAGTGAACAACTCCTTCATCAAGAACACCTTGTTAGCCGCCGATGGTTTCTCATACATATTTGACAGAGCCTCCATCATACCACGCGCCGTGGTTTCATTCATGATGTTGAAAGCAACGATCTTCGTCAATGACAATGTAATAACCGCCTTGGCTTTCTTGTCCTTTGAGTTCCACGCATCTTCAAAAGCTTTTTCCATTTTCTCCGGTTTGTCTCCGAGTACCATGTCCATGTCTTTCTGACATAGCAATGCTTCTAATTGCATTTTCCACCAGCTAAAATCAGAACCGTTGAACTTTTCGATTATAATCTTGTCTTCAGCCATTACGACAAACAAGATACAAATCAGGTACACTCGGGCGTGATAAAAAAAAACGATCGTACCCTCCAAACCTCGCTAACCAGGCTCTGATACCAGTTGTTAGGAACCGGACCGGGTACACGCAGCGGAAACACACTATCACACACATACAAACTCACGAAAATAAAGCAAGAAGAACACAAGGATTTTACGTTGTTCGGATTCGGTGCAAATCCTACGTCCACGGGCTGCAACTAGATAATTTTATTAAAACTCACAAGATTACAATTGGCTTGACACTCTACACTTGATGTTCTCTCAAGTTTTTGCACACAAAATATGCAAAACATACATGCATATATATAGGTATATTTGTGAGCCGCAATATGCACAGGATTGCCGCAAAGATTGACTTTGAAAATTTTGCCATTCACATTAGCCGTCCAACAAATATTAAATAATTGTCCACCGACCATTTGAATATTTAATTCAAACGTTTGCCGACAACAATTGAATAATTCAATTGTTAAATGTAATGTTACATTTATGGCCCTTGAACTCTTAGGAACTTGTCAATTTGTTCAAGACTCCATAAATCTTAACACATCAAAGGAAGCGGTGGCTGTCAAGAAGGTGGAGGAACAAGTGAGGGTGATTCAAATCCAGCTCCAATCTCATTGAGTGGATATTCGGGAGCTGAAGCACAGAATGGACGAAATCCTCCATGACCAGGACGAGATGAAAGACAACATAAACAAGTTGCTGGAACGCAATGGAAACCCAGGTGCACCAAACTCTGGTCTCGTTACTCCTTCTAATGAACCCATGAACAAGAACAAAGGGCCAGAGGGGTTTGGAACGGGGGGGCTCCGGCCACGGTGGTTCTGGCCAAACTCATGGAGGGTTTAACGCCGGTGGTACCCAAATCGTTTTTGGGTCAATGCCTCCAACCGAGACAGGAAGGGGAAAATATGAATATCGTCATCGTAAGATCGATATGCCTGGTTTTGATGGTTCTGATCCAGATGGGTGGGTATTACAAGTCGAGCGATACTTTGCAATCTATCAGCTGAATAATGGGGAGAAACTCGAAGCAGCAATCCTTGCTCTCAGCGGCGACGCCCTGGCCTAGTATCGGTGGTCCCACAATCAACAAGCAGTGGTTACTTGGGAACAAATGAAAACCCCATTCCTCAAGAAATTCCGACCGATTTTGGGAGGCGATATCTACAAACAGTGGAACTCGTTGGTGCAGATGACCACCACCGCCGATTACATACGTCGGTACATTGAATTAGGGGCTCCTCTTGAAGGGGTCTCCACCAACGTTATTATCGCAAGTTTTTTGAAGGGCCTGAAGCCAGAAATCCGTGACGAACTACACATATGGGCTCCTCGAGACTTGGGTCAAGCGATGGATCTGGCCCAACAAGCAGAACAAAGGCTCCGAAACCTCAAGACCAGCATAATCGGATCAATTG